TAGGACCCCTAATATGATTTAAGGTAGATTCCTTAGTTAAGGGGGTTTGGAGCCTCTGGCTACAAGGCACCCCCCAAACTCTAAACCCTAAACCCTATACCCTAAAACCGAAACCCAAACCCCTAAATCCTAAAACCTAAACCCTAGCCCCCGAAACCCTAAACCCCCAGAAATCCTTCGATCCGAGATCCCCGGCCTTGTCTGGGAGGAACACCGCCCACCTCCCGAAGCCCTCGGACTTCAGAGGTGTCGAGTTTTGCCAGTCGTTGAAGGCGCCGATCAGGAAGGCCTCTCTCTCGCCCCTGTCTTTTCTCTGTGTTTTCAAATAGAGGGCTTAGGGTTTAGGGTACCTATCTATCTGCCTATCTAGCTATCTATCTATCTATCTATCTATCTATCTAACTGCCGATCTAACTGCCGATCTATCTATTTATCTGTCTATCTATCTGTCTACCTATCGAGCTATCTATCGATCTATCGATCTATCTACCTATCTGTCTATCTATCTACGTATATATGTGTATATGATTGTGCTTGTGTGTGTGAGCATGTCTCTGCGTGTACATTATAAATACCTAGACACATGTACGAAGTGTATATATAGATATATGCATGTATCCGTGTAATATATTTATGTAGTAACAGATAGTCTCCATTGTAGTTCCTTTTTGGGGTTACCTTATAAGATCCTTAATATAGAATTGGTTAAACCGAAAAAAGGAACTACAATGGAGACTATAGGTAACAGATAGGTGTGGCTGATAATTACAGACAGCCATCACAGATCCCCGGCAGAACATAGCTCGAAGCTGTCAACCAGGCGTTGACCTGTTAATTTATAACATTAGACTCATGAAGGCATTCCTTCTGTGATAGTGAGGGCCTCCCGAAAACTGAGCTCGCAATTTCGCAACCCGTCAATTGTCCAACATTCTTGCTATTCTTTGGCCCCCCCGCCAGCCTAGGCCTTAGCATTAAACCGTTAATGCCCCAAACCCCAAACTGCGCAGCCGCAGAGCCCTAAGCCCTGAATCGCTTTGCAAAGCCTACACCTCCAGACATTTCGAGTACCGGTCAGCGAAAATGCAGTGCCCCCAGCCTGCTTCGCATTGGGCAACCACTCTCTGTACGTGTAGCCACCTGATTCCAAGTATTTAAGTTGGCTTCAGCCCTGAGTACGGTTGCAAGTGGGGTTCAGCGGTTACGGCTGTCTTTCTTGTGGGGGCTCTTTTGCGACTGTGGGTTATACGGCTTTGGGGGTTTAGGCAGCCCGAAAGACCCGGGGCCGGTCTTCCTAAACTGGGGGTCCCATGTAGTGGGTCCAAACATTAGCGAGCCTACGATGCTGACGTTCAAGACTGGGGTCCCTCATTTTCTGAAACCCTTGTCATGCCGATGATGATGATGATGATGGTGAGGATGACGAGAATGCTGATGAGGATGAAACTGTGATGGCCGTGGTGGAGCTATGGCAAGCATGATGATGACGATGAAGATGGCGATCAAGACCCTTGCGGTGTAAGTGATGACCATGCAGCGCGATAGATCAATATATGCTATGGAAGAGCACAAGGTGTGGACAGCAAGTCTTCAAGGTTCGGATAGATAAGGCTTGTATCCCAGAGGGTCCATATACACTACCATTATGGAATTAGGTCCCAAAAGACCATCCCTAATATGGTTTTGGGGACCTAATTCCATAATGGTAGTATATATGGACCCTCTTGGTATGGAGAGGTCAGGGCAGCTCCGGCCTTTCTCGCGAATGAAGCCGAAGATCTTGTAGCCCTCTGCGAAGTTTTCGAGGCCTGCCTCATTTTTGTCCAGCTCGCCAAGCCAGTAGCGGTAGCCTGGCAAGGGCATGGGCGAACTAAAGTACATGCCCTTTGAAAAGCTGCCTCATTGCTTCCATCCTCTTAGACTCTTGGAATCGCAAACGCAACAGAAAACTGACGGCCGGACCGTTCACTCGATCCCAAATTTGACCTGCACAGTCTCGCGCTCTCGTGGCCCAAAGCCGACGTACTGTCCAGTCCTAACCCCCACAGCCACATTAGTTCTGAACCCCAAACTCCGAAAGTAGAGGCCCGAAGGGCCCAAACCTCTGAAGCCTGAAGAAGCCGAGGCTTGAGGGCCCACAACACCACTAAATGGAGCTTGCAGAGCTTCTGCCAGTGCCTTGGCAAGCCTCGAGGGTACGATCGATTTCGAAGATCCTCAAAGACATTCTGACCTTTGCCAGTCCCACTCATGCTTGCACGTATGTACAGCATGGATGTGCCTTCTTGCTGTTTCGTTGTGTGCCATGTGAATACCTGAGTGTGTGTGTGTGTGCGCGTGCGTGCATGTACGCTCACATGTATGTATGCATGAGCGCATGCATGCCTGAACCTATATGTATGCTGCAGAGGTACAGTATGTAATATGTAAGTGTAAACAAGCAGTACGTTGACGGAGTGCGTCGGAACCAAGCATCAAATCCAGGAATACGGTAGTTGAAGCCCTTGCGGCCAAGATGCTCCGGCACAGCAACTAGCTTATGCGGAAGCTTGCTACTTTTAGCTCAGATGTTTGGCATTGCGGTCTAGTGCGGGTGTTGTTGGGTCCGTATCTATAGATGCAACAGCTGTCAATTAACTAATGTCATGTCCGAATTGCTTTGTTGCGACAAACCACGGCTGTTTCCAAATGGCTGCAGAACACAGCTGGCAAGAAAAGGCCGCCGGCCACCCATCGAAACAGCACATAGAACACCCTTCTCCAAGCCACAGGAGCTCTACCCATAGGCCCCATAGTAGTTCCTTTTTGGGGATTATACCTTATAGGATTCTAAATATGAAAACCAAAAAGGAACTGCTATGGGGCCTATGGGCAGGCTCACAACTGCGCTCCTAGGCTCCCAGGTGCCACGAGGTCTCCAGGTAACAAAGCGTCCGGAAGTAGCGCCTGCTGGAAGTCCATGCGGCAAGGCGGCCATGGGTGTTGCTGTTGTAATTGATGAACGCCCAGAGACTCCAAAATCCCTTAATTAAGGAATATACCCTAAAACTATAATATAGGACCCCTAATATGATTTAAGGTATATTCCTGAATTAAGGGGTTTTGGAGTCTCTGGGCGTATGTCGGCTGCGACAGGCGGACAGCTACGCACAGCGCACATGCTGGCTGGCGCAGTTGTTGGTGTGCGAAGGGTTTACCTTTTCCGTGCTGTCACGTGTAACAGATGCGCAAAGCATAGCAGAAATGCCAGCAGCCAGGAAAAGTTGCTACCACTGACGCAATCATCGCCCTCCTTTGGAGGTGGGCTTCGGTGTGCAGTCTGAAAGGTGTGTTCTGCCCTCCTCACTCCGGAGATGCACGGATCGGCCCTGCTTTTTGCATGCGCAGTCAGCGGCCACCGTATTCAGACCAAGGTATCCTGGCAGAGGGCAAACCTTCATCAGCCTACTGCACTTGACTCTGTTTCCTCTTCACTACGTCTCCAAAACCTTTCATTGAAAAAGCTAGCTGACTTTCCTTGGCGACGCAGGCAAGCAACTGCGGCTTCAATGACAAGAACGCTGCTGGCAATGAACGAGTCAAGGGCACCTCAGCCTACCACTGACCGTGGACGTCGGCGCTTGCGTGCGTTCCGGAGTCACCTCCCTGGATGGCAAGAACTCCCCGAAACCTTGCGTCATGTGGCAGGATAGGTCGTAGGGAAAGGGCTTCTGATGCATCGGCTCGTCTTTTGCATTCTACTGACATGCAACAGAACAGCTCTCGACCGCGCAAAGCTGACATGACTCCACTCGTGCAACGGAAGGCTTGCTGCCAGGTCTCCATCGAAGATGTATTCCACCTGCTTCCCCTAACCCTCCAGGTACCTACTATATAGGGCCCCAGGGGCTCTAGTACCCTATATAGTAGGTACCTGGGGGGTTAGGGTTCAACAAACACATCAAAGGAAGGCAGGGAAGGCGGCCCGAGCAAACGTTCTCCCCCTGACGAGCCTGTACCCCAAATGCAACATCTCGGCAAGAAACATGCGCAGTGTCTAGTTCAAGAACTAGTAGTTAACTCCAACCAACCTCTCACCCAACAGCATCTCAATCCAGAAACCCTAAGCCCTTTTAAGCCCTGAAAAGAACCTATACACTATACCCTAAACCCTAAACCCTAAACCCTATACCCTTTAACAATCCGTAATCCCTTGGACCAAGGCTCTCTGGCTCGGATTGTCTGGACTGCACAGCATTTAAACGCCCTAAACCCCCGCAACGTGCGAACACAAGCCCCATAAGGGTTTAGGGTTGAGGGTTTAGGGTTTAGGGTTTAGGGAACTGCTTTCCAAGACTTCTCGCCATGACTCGAAACCACACAAACTCCCTCTGAGCCCCAACCTAAGCCCCACAAGGACTAAAAATTCAGTATACGCCAACTCCCTCTGCAGATCCCCAACCAAAGCCCGAAACTCCACAGACTTTGCCCCTCAAGCCTAAATCCTAAACCCTCAACTCTAAGCCCTAAATCCTGAAACCCTCAACCCTAAGCCCTAAATCCTGAAACCCTCAACCCTAAGCCCTAAATCCCGAAACCCTAAGCCCTAAATCCTGAAACTTTAAGCCCTAAATCCTGAAACCCTCAACCCTAAACCCTAAACCCTAAACCCCAAAACCCTTAAACCCCCAAACCCTAAACCCCAAAACCCTAAACCCCTAAACCCTCGCCCCTAAACCGCTGGCCTTGAGAGCGAGGCCTTCCTTCTGCAACCAGGGCCAGAGGTCGTGGCCAGACCACGCCTGCTCGCGGTAGTTGCCTGGGATGCGACGTGAGACAACAAGGGTTTAGGGTTTAGGATTTAGATAATATAATATAAAAAACTGTATATAACCCCCAGGTACCTAGTATATACGGCCCTAGGGGCTCTAGTACCCTATATAGTAGGTACCTGGGGGGTTAGGGTGAGACAGCAGGGGCTACTTTAAGACGACTATATACAAGGGAATCTTTGTTGGGGAGATACTGTAATTAATTATAAGGGCTCCTTTCCCGAAGGGGCAAAAAAGTATTAAGATGGTAGCTACTTTGTAGGTATTTGGGCCCCAAGAGTACATACTATTCTATACCTTGGACCGTTTGGGTTTAAGACTACCATATACAAGGGAAACTTTTTTGGGAGATACTGCAATTTAGGGCTATCCTAAGAGTCATCAATCACTGCTTGGCTCCCGGGTTTACCGTTTAGCTTCTATTTGTCCTTGTAGTCTGGTCTACGCAGGGTTTGGGAAAAGAGTCTGGGCAAAGACGGGCGCAGGTTTCAACATTGTTCGTATTTTCACTGTCAGAGCTTAGACCGTGGCCAAGGATCCGACTCTTTCGTGACTATGTCAGGGTCCCGTAACTTACGGTGCTGACTGACGAAAGTTGCAACAGCAAGAACAGCGCTGAAAGCCTCGGGGAAGTAAGCTGGGAGCCGAAAGAACGATTTCGGCCTGCACCGAACTCCGTGGCATTGTGGCTTTCTTTGTTACATGCCAGGGGCAAGGCATCACTGATTTTATTCGCCACCATAAAGAAGCGTAGTGTCAACACTAAGGACACGAATGACGGATCATAATGACCATCCTCACATATGCCCAACCCGAAAAAACAAAGCCATAGCCAGGCCCAGTCGCTGTTGTCAACGAAAGGGCACTCGTAGGTCTTGGCCTAGGCTTTTACGGCTGCAGAGTTTGGAGGGTTTTGGGTTCAGGGTTTTGGGTCTTACAGGCTCATGTAGGCTTTCTCCAACTACTATTATGGGATTTTCCTGTGGGGGCTCTTTTGGGGTCGGTCGTCTGCGCAGGTTCGTTTACAGGTGTTCTTGCAAAGCTTTACTTCTGAATGCTTCACAAGTTTCTGAAGGGATCGTTCTGGTGCATTAAGGATTCGAAAAAGTCCGTTTGTCGGTTGTTGTAGGACACCAACATTTCTTCGAAAGCTTCGTTAGGGAGTCGGTTTATGGCTACTTGTGAGTTCTCGTATGGCTGTTGAAGGGGTTCTCACGGGGTTCTTATGAGCTTCTTCAAAACTCTCAGAGTGTTCTTATTTATAATGTGTTTTGTTAGGGGTGGTTGTAGTTTTCTCTGAATGGCTTCTCAAAAAGCAAAGTCTAAGTTATTCAAAGACTCTTCCGAGCAACTGACAGTTGTTGACAGCATTCTTGTATGGCAATGACAATTATTGTGGGCTGTCGGGGCATCTAAAACAACACAGTTTGAATGCATTTGCAGATTGCATGGCCTCGCGCCCTACAACGGCTCTGAGGACTGAAACTGCTTCTGTTTTGGATCCGACTATCCTTACTTGTTGCTGCAACACATGCACTGTAGATGGACAATGATGCTACAAGCTGAAACACTAACAGTAATGCTTGCCGTTTGCTGTTGCTACCGCCATGAAACGCCTGAGTGAAGTAACAAACATCAGATTTTGAAAAGACAGGACCTTAGGATCGCCACTGAGTGCAGGGCCAGCGTAACAACAAAGATACGTTCGGATCCACGACCTGCCGCTGTCGACATGCTCGTGAACAGGGGTGCGAACGCCACGAAACCTCTTCAAGGCTTCAAAGAACAGGCAGGATGCCGATGTCGTTGCTTGAGAATCTGCTCATTCTGAGAGTTATCAAAACCAAGACTATCGACGAACAGCGAGCCCATGCTGCCTTCTTGTCTCCCATCGTCATCCACGACAGGGCACTGCACGAGCTTCTTCCTCCCGGGCAGATATGACAGCAGAACCCTGACCCCCCAGGTACCTACTACATAGGGTACTATACAGCCCCGAAGGCCCCATCTAGTAGGGTTCCTGGGGGGTGAGGGGTAAGTTGAGAATTCGGGATCCGGGCCTCTTTTGAAAAGTTTGGTCTACCCTAAACCCTAAACCCTAAACCCTAAGCCCTAAACCCAAAAGGGCCTGGAGGTCCGAGGCTCAGGACCTGCCCTGGAGCCCGAGTTGCTGTTTTGCTTTCTGGTATGATTCGATCACCCTAAGCTCCCAGGTACCTACTATATGGGGCCCTAGGGGCTCTAGTACCCTATATAGTAAGCATTTGGGGGGTTAGGGTTAGATCACTTGCTTCGAGAGATAAGAGATAAATCTGCCGACGATGTGCGAACTCACTCACCCATCATGCTGACAGCCAGCCTCACAGCCCCTGCTTTCGTGAAGGGCAGGGTTTAGAAGCGGGCATCACTGGTGCCGGAGCATTGCTACTGCCTGTTCCTGCTGCCACCGCGCAAACACCGGAACCCTCAAGGTCAAACCCTGAATCCCGAGACTCTGCACACTACAACCCTAACCCAGAGGCCTGAATCAGATAGCCTCAACGCTCAGTTCATCCTAAACTTCCACCCTGGGCCACTAATCATAAACTCTACAGCCTGAAGTCAGTTCATCCCACGCCAGCCTCAACTCGGCCGGCGGTGAATGCCGGGCCAGCGTTGCCTGCGAAGGCCCCGTGTTCTGCAGATGGGGCCCCTTTTGGCTTCATTATCAACGTTCGCTTACATTTTGGTTGAAAGCTTATAGAGTTTACGAGTCTAGGGTTGAAAGACCTACGGGTATTTTGTCTTTGTGTAGGGTTGAAGATTTAAGTTTTGGGCTGTAGTGCCTGAGGGCCGAAAGCTCCCAAAGCTCCTATGCCAGCGCTGCGGAACCCGGAGGGCATTGTCCCCTGATTTATCCAATCCGGCGACCCTACTGTCGGGGACCTATATAAACGAAAGTGTGCTTATCCACCAAGGGTCTACCTTAAGGCTTCTGCCCTATTTGGGCCTCAAGGGAAGGTTTCAGGCTGTTGGCGGTTCGGGGATGTCGATCCGTTTGTGAAGGCTTCTGCAGTACACTCTAAATGCTGTACATGCCTTAATAATTAGTATAGGGTTTTGGGTTATATTATACTACAACTATAGTAAGGAACCCCCAAAATAGTATAGGTAATTATTAAGGCCCCGATTTTACTTGGCGTGAACATCAGATCGGATTTGCCACAAGGTTGCGGCCTTTGGGCTTGCAGATTGGGGGGGATGCTCCAACTTCTATGAACTTCAGAGCCGCTTATGAGCCGAGGGCACCGTGGTGCAAGAGGAGGTGGGTTTAGGGTTTCGGGTTTCGGGTTTAGGGTCGGAAGCTTGGCTGCAAGACGCTTGGACTGAATTGGGGGGGGGGCCAAGTAGGATTATCTGCCGCTGAGTCCTGCTTGGCCTATCCTCAGACGGTATACGTGCAACTGCTGTGGTCGTTGGACTCTGCCACTCTCATAGTTCCCAACATCATCTGTCAACGTTTGCCACTAACAGGTTAACTAGTTGTTTCGTGTCCAGGCTACTGGAATCTCGATGCTTTGACGAAACCGCTGTGAACAAAAACAGAGGTGTGGTATCACTATATAGGAACTGTAAGGGACAATACACGAACTCTTCGACACCGGAATGACATCTGGGGAACTCCAGGGATGTGACACCAGTCTCGTGATGGGACGAATCAGCAGCTTGTTTCTGTAGATGTCGGAATTTGGAATCTCTTGACATACACCCACCTGGTGGCAAACAGGCTGGGTCATGAAGCCCAGCTTCTCGTAAAACTTGATGGCGCATCTGGCAGGCAACGCAGGCTTTCTTGCCAAGTGGGCTTCCGAAGGCTCGCTTACGGCACGCTCAGTCCTGATGCTGCCGATGCCACTGCTACTGCGGTGCTTTGCGGCAGGATATTGCAAGAGGATAGCATGCAACCAGCCTCACAGCATCCCAAGGGTACGAGGATCCTTTGGGTCGGAACATGCCGCCCTTGCTCGCACTGCTGCCGATGTCCTTTAGGCAAGTTTCGGATAAGGTTGCATCTGGATCTTCTGTACAGAGCGGCAAGCCGACAGAGATCCCTTTGGAGGGGATGAGCAGCACAGCGATGATTGCAGCACTGATTCATGCGTTAAAAAAAAAACGTCAAGTACTGGAATCAGCAGTGCTGCTACAGGAGTTTTCGCGATGCCGAGGTGGACTCAAGGAGATACACGCCGGTTTGCTACCACACCTGGAAACCTCTCTGTGCAGTAGCCCCAACAGAACCGAAGTGGTAGGTCCTCACAGTTCAGCACCTGAGCAAGGGTGCACAGAGGGCTTGCATTCACGGATTACCAAGGGCTTCCAAACAACACTCTAGAAGCATATGACTTAGACACTGCTATCGACACGGAACGAGGAGAATATGAATAACAACCATAACAACAGCAATAACAGTATCTATGGCGACGACGAAAGTTGCGAAAGCAACGGTTTAGAAAGATACCAACTATAAGGAAAGTGACTATCAGTGGTTCCAGCGTGGCTTGGGGCTTTCCCCTTGCTGCACGGTAGATGCACCAGCATCAATTACCCGGAGCTGTTCAGCCATGTTACAAGCAGCACAAAATATCATATCTTTTCATGGGGTCAGTCGCAACAACTCTGAACCCTGAACCCTAAACCGCTCATGCAAGGCAACTTGGTGCACAATCTCAGCTAAGGGGTTTCCGGGCCCAGCTCGAGATTCCGATCCGCCTTTCGATACTCGGCTTAGGATGTTAAGGTCTGGGGATAAGCCGAAGACCATAACTTCCTTCATCGCTAGTACTGCAGTCACCGCTTCGATCAGTTTTGCAACTACACCTCCATTGCAGTACTGCGCCAGAAATGCGATTCTTCACTAAATTACCATGTGCTGCTTGAAGTCCTGCACCAATGAAATGGGCATGTGCGCTCGAATCGCTTCAGCTGCGAAAAGGTAAGGTGAATCTCAAAGTATCGGCTCAAGGCGCGATCATGCTGCCAGCGCTGTTGGGCGAACGCCGCACGTCCCTCACCGGGATTTGCGCTGTATCTTGGCCTGACAGCGATGGCTCCAACGATTGCAGCGGCTCAGGCTTGAGAAAAGTAACTGGCTGGACTTATCTTGCGGCCTCTCATCCTTATCGCAATGAAACTGAATTTATGTCTCGTCTTTGTGCTGACCTTCTTCGTGTGTCATGTCAATGTGTGTTTTTTGGCTGCTGGTTGTGTCCGCTACCACACTAGCTTTACATTCAGTATATAAAGGTCAGAGCGCGAGCATGTACAATCTTCACCCACATGGCCACGGGTAGTATGCCGACGCTAAGTTCTCGTAGTCTTCCGGTAAGTCTGCTTCTGTCACCTCTCTCACTACGACGTCTCCGGTAATGCATAAACCCTAAACCCTAAAC